GTGCTGCTCCTCATTGCCCCAGTGCCAGGGGTCGTTTCCTGTGAGTCGGTTGAGTGGTCGCAAGATCTTAGCGAAGTCCTTAATGAAGCGGCGGTAAAAGTTGGAAAACCCCCGGAACTTTTGAACTTTTTTTTGTTCTGGGGTACCGGCCACTCATTAATTCCTTTAAGCTTCGCCAGATCCATTGCTACCTCATCGCCACTGAACACATAGCCGACATAGTCAACCTTGGGAACATCCCATTCACACTTCTCAGGCTTCAGGAACAGATCATTCTCCTGAAGGCAACGAAGAACCTCGTGCGTGACCCTGTCATGCTCCTCCTTATTGGTGGAGAAGATAAGGATGTCATTGAGGTACACAAGGACCTTGCCACTGATGATGAGATTGTGGAAGATCTTGTTCATCATCGCCTGGAAGGTTGCAGGGGAATTGGTAAGGCCAAAGAACATCACCAGGGGTTCGTACAATCCCCGGTTAGTTACAAAGGCAGCCTTCCACTCGTCACCGGCTTTGATCCGGACATTATTGTATCCCCATCTGATGTCGAACTTCGTGAAGAGTGTAGCGCCGCGGAGCTTGTCTACCATTTCGGCGATCAGTGGCAGCAGATAGCAATTTTTGACAGTGATCGCATTCAGTCGGCGATAATCCTGCACGGTTTGAAGTGTCCCTTCCTTCTTTTTGATGAAGAAGAAGGGGGACGAGATGGGCGACTTCGACTCCCATATGTAGCCTTTGGCCAGCTGCTCCTTTAGGAACTTATCCAGCTCCTCCTGCTCATTGTTCGACAATGGGTACACCTTTGAATGGAACATCGAGTAGCCAGGCATGAGTTCGATTGCGTGATCATACGGCTTCCTTTCGGGTAACTGTTCTGATGCTTCTTTGGAGAAGACATTCAAGAACTCGTGATACTGCTTCGGTACTGACTCCTCGATGGGCTTAACAACCTTCTTCTTGATTTCTTCCTCTGCAAACAGCTGGGAATATGTATGTCCTGCTGCAACGAACAACTGAGGAGCACCTGGAAGTGTGATACCTTGCTCCCAAGCCTCGATCAAGTCGGTCTCTGTCCACTCAACCTCTTCCGGTTTCTCCTCGGGTTCAAAGTCTGGGAGTACCTTACTCCGGCAGGCACCAATGACTGACCGTTTGGATTTTGGTGAACGCCTGCGCGCCATGGGCCTGACCCCCATATCATGCACAGTCGCTGCTTGCTCCATTCGGCCAGTTTTTCTGGCACCGCACGTTTCAGGGCATCGTGACAGTTTGAAGGAGCCGGTCTTCCAATCGATCTCGGGGTTGTGCTCTCGTAGCCAATCCAACCCAATGATCACATCCTCTGGACCTATGTCTGTGACCGTGAACACCGTCTTCTCGACGTGATCTCCTATCTGCATCTGTAGCACGGCTACTTCTGAGATGCTTCCATCTTTGTTGAGCATCCCATCGATATTGTATAGCGGAATTGGTTCCTTCAATTTCCGTGTTTGTACTCAATTCTCCTGGATGAAACACTTGTTGATAAACTTTGTGGTGGCTCCACTGTCCACCATTGCAACTATGTCCTTGTGCCGTCTTTCTCCTTTGAGGTGCACCAGAATGTGAAAATGCTGAGACCTGTGGTCCAATTCGTACACATTCGCAGTCGCCAATACATTGTACAGATTGTTATTACACGGTCCAACACGTGCGGCACAAAGCGTGGACCTGATCAAAAAGACTCCTCTTTCATCACCCGGTAGTGCTCCAACTCCTTGCACATCAATTTCACCTGTTCCATCAAGGCCGCCAGTGTCTCAGATTTCTCTGGACTTCCTGAAGCAGCACTTGTACTTGCCGAGGGTGATGTTGTGATGGGGGTGCTTGTCGCGGCCTGGGTAGAACCCGAGGCAACCGTAGCCCGTGCATCAGCGTGCTTGGTGTAAGGTTTGTCCTTACAGTTGGGGCACTCGAAGTGTCAGTACCCTTGCTTCCCACAGCTGAAGCAACTGCCAGGGAAGTCTCCTTTTCCGACAGCAGCGTTGATGCTGGCTGATGCTCCGTGTGACCTGGGCGTACCACCACGCGCTCCACCTTGTCCACCTCCTCAAGCCGAGAAGAAACTGTTCAACTCGGGCCAATGGGCCCGGCTGATGTCGAGTATTTGCTCGACTTCTGTGGCATGCTTGTCAGCGTCTTCCCACGTGGTGAATGAAACATTTGTCTTTCCGTTCTATTCCTTGTACTACTAGCGCCCATACTGGCGCCTGTCTTAGCGCTCACCCGCAGGTTGAACATTATGTAGCTTACATAATGGGGTCCGTGCGCACTTCGTACTCGGCATCGTACCACTATGTTTCTTTCTTCACTAACATGACCACATAGACACGATGGTCTGTGCGCAGTCGGTACTTGTATAAGTAGTTGTACCATTAGTCGGT